CATTAGCTTCACGTGAATATCTCTTTTTTTTTTGTTAATATCATGTGAATAACATTTGTTTTCATAAAGTTAGATTGTTAATTTTGTCTATTAAAATTAATAAAATACTTTAAATTCAAAATTAACTTATTTGTTCACAATCAATAATATCTTTATATTTTTGTTAAACAAAATTAATAATTTATTTTTTAAAAAATAAAAGTTATCCAGGTGATATTAATTGGGAAAAAGAGATATTTACAAAATATTAATTAAAAAGAAGAAACCATAAAGTGTCATATAAAAAAAAGTTAGTTAAAATTATTAAAAACGAGGATAGAGTTTACCTAATTACAATGTTTCAATTTATAACTGCATGCGCAACACATCATTGTATCCGTGAGTAAACACGAAAATAATTGCTCTTAATTAACATCTTTAGTTATGAATTATACTATTTCATTTACTAGTAGAAGAATATTTTGTTAATTAGAATTAGAGGGAAGGATAATATTGATAATTAAATAGTAGTAGTAGTAAGTAATTAATATACCTTGAATTTGCGACAGAAATTGACATCGCTCCAATGCCTTTCATCCAAATCCGAAGCAACGGATTGAGGGGTGTCTCTCCAAACTACAGCGGTTGCAGACGACGTGAAGACCACCTTGTCCATCGTATCCGTCTGAGCGCATGCCTCTATCACATTGTGTGCTGCTCTTACCTCCACTTCTGCCATAAATTCCTGCCACCAAATCCATGCCAGTTTTCTCAAAATTGTGATTTCACCCAAATTCTTAATTTTAATGTTCCAGAAATAAAATAATCTTCTTAATTTCAAGAGATAGTTCATAGTTACTGTGCTATAGATTTTATAGCTATTACTATTAGAACTTTTATTATAATTCAATTTATCCGTTGAAATTTTTCTTCCCATTTTGGAAAGTTCACTTCTATCGCAAAAAATGAAAAATAATAAATTGTTAATTATTATAAATAGTAGAAAACATATACATGTATATTGGATTAGAATCAATACTTGAATTGAACAATTTTTTCAAGTTCGATCGATTTTTTATTATACTAATTATATATAGAAATATTCACAAATTATTAAAGAAATATTAAGATCCGAATTTAAAATCCCTATTCAAATTCTGTCAAATCATACAGACGTAGCTACTACAAGCAAGTGATGATAAGCGGCCGAACCTAAGGTAGAGTCGTAGACGAACCCTACTTCTATACTCTTCTCAGGACCATTCAAAGTGCATGAATTTGTGGAAAATGTCTGTAATGGGACAAAGAATATGTTTGTTTGGCCAATAGGAAAAAGAGAAAGGAAAAAATCTTAATTGCTTGGATCGCATATTGCATGTGCCTCAGTTCACTGATTCTTTTGTTACTGATTAACCTTCCTGGGAAAATCGTCAAGAAATTAACATTTTGAAGATTAACTGAAACATGATTATGTGTTTATGATTGAGAATCAAAGTACAGAACAAGGAACTTCCAGAGAAATCTGATGAAGAAGATCAACATAAGGGTGAATTACTTACATCATAGGCGGGGTGGTCCTCTGGAGGCTCAAACGCGTAAAACAAACCAGAGCAACCTTTCAGAGCATCGATGATGCTCTGATAGTCAAAAGGGTCTGCACGGAAAACCTTCAGCTTCTTGTTTTCACCAGCTGCCACCCCATTAAATATCAAATCACCTATAACCATGAAACAGTACTACAGATAATCAATCAGATAATCACTAAGGAAAGAAAAGAAGCCGGGTGGGGGCATAATTTCTGGACGCTAACCGTGGCCCTGAACAGCAGCATGGACAGTGTAGCCTCTTTGCAGCAACCGTTCAACCAGGGTGGAGCCAAGGCGACCGGAGGCATCCATCACGCAAACATTCTCGTGATGGAAAGAAGCCGGTGCCATTCCTTTTTTTGGGAGAAAAGATGCAAAAAGAGTCAGACTGGTGAGTTAGATTTACTTTATATTTGATCGAAAGAGTTAAAAGTAGTGCAAATAAAAGCTCTGGGGTAGACCTGAAATGGTAGAGACGAGAAATATAAAGGAGGAAGGGGGTCGGCTTGGCCTAGCATTCAAAGGGCGTGGGAGAGTAGATGGGTGTGGGGAGAGGTAGTTGTTGTTGGAAAGAGGGAGAGAGACTGGAAGAAGAGCTTTGCAATCTTTTACCTTTTTCAACAAATGTGATTTTGCATAAAAAGAGGGGTTTGGTAGAAGCGTGAATGCATCTGTGTTGGTTTTACATCACAAGGGAAACCTACCTTACTTAGCTACTATACACAGACCAGTCTTCATGATTGCCTTGTTATCAAATTTTACTCCTTTCTGTCTTTCTATTTTTCTTTTCACGGAAACATTTTTTACCTAATGCCATTTTAAAAGTACTTTGATTTCAAATTTAACTAATTCTGTTCCATTTTCTTTATTAATTATTTTAAGATATTCGAAATTCTTTTTTTAATTATTTTTACACCTAATACTCTTACTTTTCCTACGTTTCAAATTTATTTTCATGATTTTTTTTGACTTTTTCCATATTAAAAAATAAACTTTTATATTATAAAAATATTTAAATTTTAATGTAAAATACATTAAAATCTGAACGTTTATCTTAGTTTTTATAAAAACCAAAGAAAGACAAAATGACATAATGCTATGAACTATTTAAGAACATTTAAACAAGTTTTTATTTCTTTATTGTATTTAATTAAGTTTATATATTTTTATTTTAAATTAAATATATTTTTATATCTAATAATTAATTAATTATCATTAATCAAAATACCCTATATTAATATGATAGTTAAAAAATATTACATAATTATATCATTATATCATGTCATCATTATTATAACATTTCAACATATCACATTAACGTTACATGATATAAAATGATAAGTAATATTTTAATTAATAATCATTAGTTATAATAAAAATTTATTTAATTAAAAACTAAATTATAAAAATTTAATTAAATATAATAAAATAATAAAAATAATTTAAAATTTTGTAAATAATTTAAAATTTTTTTAAAAATATTATGTTAAAAACAAATATTTAGTGACAACAAGAGTAATTAATATGGAGACATTTTAAAATGGACATGAATGCCCCTAATTAAGGGCCCCTTCTTCCTCGCTAATTGGTCGGAGCTTTTCGTTGGCGATTAATGCTGTCATAAACAGTTGCTTTTGCACATGGCGGTTGCCTAGAAAATTAAGAGGAATTTGTGATGGCCTTAAACCATATAAAGTCGACCGTAGAGTGTTTTATTTTTTATTATAAAAAATAAAATTGTTCTATTCCTAGTCTAACGGATCGCTTTCGTATAGTCCATCAAATCATTGGTAATTGAAAACACGGTACGTTTTTATTTAATGACTGAACTCCTTTCCAGAAGGTTTTCCAAAGTCTATTCGTCTCTTATTTTATTTTTTGAGGTATTTCAAAATAAAAATTGTTTTATTTTTTAAAACATTTAATAATTTACTTTTCTTATATTATAAATCATTGAACATCAATAGTTTGCTTTCAAATTTTAATATAAATTATGTAAAATTAAAATTTCTATCTTGATTTTTGTGAAAATAAAAAATATTAATATTTAAGAACGGAGAGAGTATTTATTCACATAAACATTTACATAAAAATGAGTTATTAATACGACTTTAATTAATGAATCTAAATTATTTGATACTTAAGTTTTTGTACCATAAAAACTAGAAAAAGTTACATAATTAATTAACTAAGTAAAATATATTACATCTCGTAATTATATTTGTGTTAGTAATTTAATGTGTTTTATAAGAATTTGGGCATTGGAGGATACAAAACTTTATAACAGTGTCTTAAACCATAACTTTTAAGACAATATTGATATATGTACAACATTTATTAATGTGTGTATCTCAATATTTAATTAAATTAATTTCTTTTATTGAATCAAAATTTAGAATGTTACTCGGACTGCTATGTCAGAAACCCACTAAATTTTCATTTACCTCAAGATTTTAATAATTTTTTTTACAGGAGGATCTAGTAAATTTTTAAAATAATCTTCAAGTAATTTATATTAGAAACAATTGTCCCAAAACAGGTGCCGTAATGACACGTGTCCAATAATATGGAAGTCGACAAAATGGACCCCGGATGAGGCCTCTTATCAATCCTCGGACCTTCACAGATGCAGCACTCCCCTTAATACGACTTTCCCAAGGAAGCAACTTAAAAACCACTCCAGAAAAATTTTAAAAAGAGTCTTGAGCTGCCAATAACACATACTCCAATAATATGAAGTTAGAAATCTATCTCATCCGTTTTAAAATCACCAATGATCACCACCCATTATTAAAACTAAATCTAATACTTTTTGGAAGAATTAAAAACACCCTAGTAAAAAATAACACATTAAATACAAAATAAATCAATTCTAAATTAAATTCAGCAAGGATTATTTATTTTTCAGGTCAATTATTGGAGAAGAGAAGCATAAATGCTTAAACAATGCTAGCAAAACTAAAAATTAAATGAGAATTATTAAATTAAAATGACCTAATTTAATGGATTATTAGAGAAAGAGAGAAAGAAAAGTATGTTTTTGTTTTTTAGAGAGAGATGGGTGATACGAACAAGATAATTTTGGGAATTTATACAGTTTTAAGAGTGAATAAGACCTTGCCCTCCAGCAAGAAGAATGTTGGCTAGGGTTTTTTTAGAAGGAGAGGAAATTGACGGCAAAAGGAAGGAGAAGAGCAGAAAAGAAGAAAAAGAGGGACCCACCGTCAGAAAGGCTTAGGTCGGCGAAGGCGACAACGTCAGAGATCGAGGAAGAGAGGGCTGAGAGAAAGGGGGCTGCTATATAAGGTTTCTAATCTAGTAATAGGGGTTTTTTAAATAGGTTAGGGTTTTCGGAATGGTTCGTTTGAGGGTTTTGAAAAAAACCGGTTTGAGGGTTTTGAAAAACCGGTTTGATTTTTAAAAAACAGATTTCAGGGTTTTTGCAAACAACGATTTTGGATTTTTTCTGTATTGGTTTCAGGGTTCTTGAGAACCTATTTAACTGTTATTGAGTATTGAATTTTTATGTTTAGGGTTTAAGATTTAAAGTTTAAAGTTTAGGCCTTTAACTTTATCTTCACCTTTTATTGTAATCCACACCCCTCTTCCCAATTTTATTTTCTTTTGCTATTCTATTTTCTCTCATTAAATCAACAAATTCGAACCTGATTAAAATTTAACTATTCGTAATTTTTCTAAACCAAATTAAAAATCAACATTTAATATCTAAACTCGAATTAAAAAATAAATTTAATATCAATATTTTTATATATTATGAATAAAAATCAATTTAATAAATTAAAATTCTCATTAAAACGTAAATTAAAGTTTGAGCATGATTATAACATATTTTAATCTTATTTAATCAAATTGGATAGTACCTGGTATTAGATTATAAAATACCATAATCGTATTTACAAGGACATCATAAAACCCACTTGAGAAATTTTTTTTAAAAAAAAGCCTAAAACAAGTAGAAGAAATGTAAAGGAAAACAAAGGAGGGCAGTGGCAAAGGGATTAAGCAGCAGTTTCACATTCTAATGTCTATGATTTGGATGTAAAATTGCTAGAGATATCCTATTGCTGCATGTATCCAGAAATTGTACATTGGGTATATATTTCATGAAGAATCAAAACTCCTCGAAAGATATAGATCAAAGGATTTGTAGCCTAGGGTAAGACTTGATTGCAGTGCTGGAGTGACCCAAAACCCAGGTTGATAAGGTAGCCTGAAGCTGGTAGGGTAGAAATCAATGGTCGAACTCTCCAAATTGAACTCCCCCATGTCATATCCTGTATCCTTCTTGTAATAGTGATCAGCATGAATACAATCATCCATGAAATATATGTGGTTCCTTTTAATGCCTCCCACTTTCTCAGATAGTGAGAAAGACTGACTACGCCCCAAAAACAGGGCATATTCACCCAAACTTACGACTGGAATCCATTTCTTCAGACTGAAATCTAATCTGTATACTTCAAACATCCTTGTTCTGTAACCTATTCTGGTGCGAGTGTTATCTTTCCTGCGGTACACAAGCAGTAACTCTCCTCCTGATTCGACGAGGTAGCAGACTTCCTTAGTGCACTGCTTGTTAATAAATCTGTGTGGACTGGCTAAGAACTCAGTCATCTCTGGAGGAGGGGCTGTGAGGTCACAGGTAAAGATTTTTTCAGTTTCATGCAACGCATAAAGCTGTCCGTGATATATGGCATCTGAAAAACCATTAAACGGTTTGCCAACTGAATCTGTAGATTTTATGGGGCTCCAGGTTGTGTCTCCTAGTTTGCAATAGGCCAAGGCATGATGGCGAGATATATAACAAAGAAAAAGCACTTGGAAGGGAGACTGCAGGTAGGGCTCTAGGAGATGAAAGCCTTGTTCACAGAGGACATGGAATAAAACACATGAGTCTTGGACAAGGCTAAAGCTTGAGGTACTGGAGGGAGAGTCGTGACACCAGGGAGTCTGAATCTACTCTGAATCTAACACCCGAAACCAGGTCTACCATGGCCATGTCTAGGTTGGGGTTCACCATCACGAGCCATCCCTGGTAAGACCCGCTACACAGACTCTTATCGGGAAGTGAAAGCAGAGGTAAGTTATTGTGGTCAAGGGTATCACCATCGTTGCAGAGCTTGATCTTTGTCAAGGGTAAAAAGCAGCGTGCCTTGCATGAGTTATTTGGAGCGCCAGGAATTATGAAGCCTGGAGGTGCGCAGCGGAGGAGATGGAAGCGTTCATGGAGAGCGACTGATCTCCATGATGAACAAACACTGCTGAATCTGATTTTATCAGAAAGATTTATTAGTTTTTTCATTACCAAGATCAAGATAGGTTTAGGGAGAGTAGACCAGGTGGCCATGATGATTGAATAATGTCCCTTTTTTTTTTTTTAAGAGAAAAATAGAATAACGTCGTTGAAAGGGGGAGAATGAACTTTGAATAAGGGACGTGATTAAATCCTTGACCTCGAAGGAGTCCAATTCCACTAGTACAGTGAAGTAGGATTCATTCTAGAAAAATTGAACATATATGTATTAAGAACAAAAATCCTCAGTCGATTTGGTGCTCAGTTGGCGTTTTAGAAAAGTTTAATATGTGTACTAACGACAAA